TGTCCGTATGCTCGCAGGCATGACCACAGGCTGCTGCGCGGGATCCGGTCATACGCTTTCTCTAGGTCCACAAAGTGGATGTAAACCGAATGAGTGAACTCTCATGATTTCTCAATAACCTGGCGCAAAGTGAAGATCAGATCAGAGTTGTTTCCGCCTGAAGCTACACTGATTTTCTTATATCTTAGAGTCACTTGTATATCAGTATTTACTTTCTAACAGTTTGAGTAGAGTTTTCCCGGAAGGCTGCATAAGATAATTGGGGTATTCTCTATGGTCTCCCTTCTTGGACACGGGTCAACAACCCCTCGTTATCCAGTCTAGAGATGTCTTTCCCGTAGTCAATACAGTTAGATAGACGCGCGTTACCCACTGTGCACCTTTTTCCCCTAAAGCTTTTAGCATTTCATAGCAAATTTTATCGACCCCAGCAGTCTTGCCACTTTTGAAGTGATTTACAACTTCTGTCACTTCATCCAATGAAGGACTAATATCAGCTGCATGCTGCTCTTTGGGTAAGTCGTCCTGCCGTAGCTTGGGGTTATGAAGTTCCTCAAATTACTCAATCTTTCCAATGCCGAAGTATGTTTTCGTCCTTGGTAAGAGAGTCTCCGGTTCTATCCTTCAGAGTGGAACCGGTCTTTCATTTTTTACACCTTAAAGGCAACGGATGATCTGCAAGGATAGCATGTTGGCCGTCTAAAAATTCAACTCCAACATATCGCCGAAAACTTTTGAGGAATCAGCTTTCGCTGCAGCACTGCACGCTTTCTGTCTCTAAACATTCTATTGATAGCTTGCTTATTCTCGCTGAGAGACCATAGAACCTCTCGTGACCATCAGGAAGTTCGTTTCTGACCTCAAGGCTGCAAGTCTTGCTAACCACAGAATTCGGCGAGAGCCCTGTGTAAGCTGATCTTGGAAAGCCTGCATTCGCTTGCCTTTGAACATATTAGCGGTCGTCACATGTTGTTTGCAAGCTTACCTTGGTATCCGCAGAAGGTAATGTTTCCGACTGATTCTCAGGCTGCTTTGCCGTCAGGTTTTGCCCAATTGCATGGGAAGGTGCTAACAACAAGGTGATGATTGATTGACAGTTCTGCGTCTCGCTGAACGCTAACTCCATTGTCCAACGTCGTACGTCAGACGATATGTTTATCAAATCGATAATCGGTTTCCGAAAC